CTGCTGCTAGCCCCAGCCTCATTGCCCCCAGGCTCCTCGGAGCCCAGTCACCCTGGCCTAGGTCAATTTAGCCAAGGATGGTACTTCCTCTGACTACTTGCCCTGTTCCCCTGCCTGAAACACCCTCCCCTCCCCTCTCTGCCTGGTTCCCTCCTGGGCATTCCTCATTTAAAAAAAAAAAAAATGGAGAGAGAGATTGCCTACAGAGCAAAGCACTACAGTGGGTGTGCTGACAGAGTGGGGTGCCTCCATGCTGACCCACAGAGCAAGAGAGCTGAGGGTGTTTGGCCCGAGGCTCACTGGCAGAGTGGGCTGGCTCCAAGCACATTCTGAAGGAGCTAAAGAGCTTTGTGACACTCACTTGCTGAAGGCTGGGCCAAGGGGCTGACCAAGGGAGTGAGGGTCAGAGAGTCAGAGAAAGGCCTGCCTGAGGACATGGCTAAGAAGAAGGTGTCCTGACCAAAGAACTGTGTCATGAGCTGTTCCAGATCTTGAATTGTAACCTAATAAACTTCCCTAACAAACTCAAAAAAAAAAAAAACATGGCAGTCAAGTCGGTTACAACTCATGGCAATGCCATGTGTTTCAGAATAGAGTTTGCTCTGTAACTTTTCTTACTGTAATCGCAGGACTGTCTCTCACGGGACTACTAGAAGAGTTTGAACTGCCAGTCTTTCAGTTAGTAGTCTAGTGCTTAACCCTTTCCGCCACCCAGGGACTCCTACATATTCCTTATGTTGTTATCAGGTGCCATCAAGCCAGCTCCGACTCATAGCAACCCTATGTATAACAGAATGAAATGCCCAATTCTGCACCAGCCTCACAATCCTTTCTATGCCAGAGCCCATCGTTGTAGCCACTGTGTCAGTCCATCTTGTTGAGGGCCTTAGGCTGTTGTTGTTGTTGTTGTTAGGTGCCGTCGAGTCCAGTCTGACTCATAGCGACCCTATGTACAACAGAACGAAACACTGCCCACTCCTGTGTCAGCCTCACAATCCTTGCATAAGCTATTCATAAGGTTTTTACTGGCCAATTCTTGGAGAAGTGGATGGCCCCTTCCTTCTTCCAAGTCAGTCTCAGTCTGGAAGTTCTGCTGAAACCTGTCCACCATGGGTGCCCCTGCTGGTATTTGAAATACCAGTGGCATAGCCTCCAGCCTCACAGCAACATGCAAGCCACCACAGTATGACAAATTGACAGATGAGTGGTGGAGAGGGCCTTATAGTTCTGTTCAAATATCACTCCCAGCCCATCAGTCCTATCCACCCCCACAACACAAAGAGTTGTATCTTCTCCCAGAAGTCTATCCTACAGCACTTATCACTGTCATGATTTTAAAACTACTACTTAAAAGAGTGTCTGTTCTAAAGCCTGTCTGACCTGCCCCCACTTTAAGCACCATGAAAGCAGAATAGGAACTGACCCACCAGCACCTACCACAGTGCCTGGTACACAGTTGCTCTCAAAAATGTTGCTGAATGAATATACAGTACTGAGTTGTCAGTGAAAGCAAACATGGGTATAGGGACGGATAGATGGGTGAACAGGCTGAACAATTGGGTGTGTCTAAATGGAGAGTGTATCCAAGATCATATACGGGGTTGGCAGACAATGGGCCTATAAGGTCATGTGAATGATGTAGGAGATCCTGCATAAAGAGGGAGAACAAAGTGGTACAAAACTCAAAATTGTTTGGGAAGAAAAAAAAAAAAAAAAAAGAAGGTGGGGACCAGGTTTGCTGGTCCAATGGAGCCTGGTGTAACCACTGAGACTATGGCCCCTAGCTGCCCTTCAGGTCTGGAATTGAACCCACAACTGTGGTTTCCAGCCAAACAAAGTACAGGCATGTGAGTTAAACATTTACCTCAAGTAGACACACGCCCTGGAGAGAACAATCAAGGGAGAAGGAAGGGCTGCTTATGCACAGGGAGATAGCTCAGGGTGCAGAAGAGTATGAAGGGTTGGACACTGGGAGGAGGTAACTATGGGGAGGAAGTGGGAGGGGAGCTGCTGCATTGTAAATTTTGGTCAATGACATGAGACAAAGTATATGTGAACTGCTGTATGAAAAGTGAATTTACTCTGTAAATCTTCACCCAAATCCTAATAATAAAAAATAAAAAAATGTTGCTGAATGAACAGGTCCTTCCATTGTCTACCATGAACCCCAGGAGATCAGACCTTAAGACCCTCCTGTCTGCCCCTTGGAAAAGAGCACAGCCTGGTGCCCACAGCTCCATGCCCACCACATACTGTCACAACCAATCAGACACTATTGTCCTAGACAACAATTCACAGCTCACAGAAAGATTACCTGGATCTGGGCTGGGCTTTCCACCAGAGGAGGGAGAGTGGGGAGGCCTCATTGGTTTGGAAGCATCTTCCGGGGTACGGACTGGGCTTTCTCTGAATGGCGTGGTCCTGGCCCTGGAGGTTAGGATGAACATGGCCTTGGAGGTGGTGCCTCTGGGGAAGAAGCTGAGATGAGACTGAAGATCGAGACCATTCTCCTGATGGGGCAAGGGAGGCCTGTACTCAAGGGTAACAGTGTCTACAGAGAGGGGCCCCCAGGCCCTCTGCCCCTGCCTCCACAAGCCCACTGTAGGCTCCTCAGGAGCCAGGGCTGTGTTTTCTCAGCCTCTGGGTCTTGCGAGTGCCCATGGTAGGGCTGGCCCACAGTGGGCCTCAGGTGAGTTGTGTGACGGCAGAGAAACACCCCGAGGTCCCCATACCCTGAATACCCTGGGCCATCTGCACCTCCTGCCCAGCTGTGCCCTGGGATTGGGGCAGCTCCACTGAAGGTCAGCTGGAGAAGGGAGGAGGGAAGAGGTCTGGGGAATCACCTGGCAGACGCCTTGCAGTTCTCTGGGCTGGTGCTGCAGTCAGTGCGAGTCCCCAGGGGAGCTGGCTGACAGACAGTGTCCTGCTTGGCTGTGCCTGCAGGGGGACAGCAATGTCCTCAGAAATGGGGTCAAAGAGCCTGAAGTCTCCAGGAGTAAACCTTCCACCCCACAAAGCAGAGTCAGGGACAGGGCACAGTGGCCACCTGGTGTTCATGCCTGTAAGTACCCATTCCTTTTTTGGGGTGAAGCAGCTTGCTTTTCCCTGGGGAAGTACTCTCCCCCTCATCTCAGTGTCTGTGATTAGGAACTGGGACTGGACCCCTTCTAGGAGGAGCCACATGACCAGGCTGGACCAATCCACATTCCACTCCTCGGGCCACATGGGCCGGATCTCTAAGCCTCAGTTTCCTCCTTTGTAAAATGGTTATAATAACACATGCTTCCTAAGGTTGTCGTCAGGATAAACAGCCTTGTGTCTACCCACTGTGGGCCACATAGCAAACAGTCAATAAATATCATGACCTTGTCCCCATCTGGACATCTGTCCCATCCTTTAGAAAATGACCCACGTGTACTAGGAGATGATCTGAAGGTTTCATGGGGGCAGGGTACAGCTATCTGACCTCTCCTGTGTATCTGCAGCATGGTGGACTCACAGGTTCAAATCCTGACTGGTGTTCAAATCCAGGCTACGCTGTTCCCTGCTCTGTGCTCTTGGGCAATTGATCTACCTTCTCTGGATCTCATTTCCTCAGTGTTCAATCAGGCCAGTCCTGGGTCCCTTATCAAGTGCTGAGCCTGTGATAGTTCTCAACGTGTGCCTTAACTACAAGCTGAATATGAAGCAGAAACTACTTTCCATTTGATAGTTAGGGAAACTGAGGCCCAGAGAGTTGCCCTGCAGAGGCTCCACAGGAGAATCCAGAATTGAAGCTGGGTTTGGCAGCCAAAATTTGGAACAATTCTAAAGCAGCACTGTCCAATAGAAATGTGATGCAAATCACATATATAATTTTAAATATTCTAGTAGCTCTGGTGGCATAGTGCCTGAGGCATTTGACTGCTTACCAGAAGGTTGGTGGTTCAAACCCACCAGCTGCTCTGCAGAAAGAAGATGGGGTAATCTATTTCCGTAAAGATTTACTGCCTCAGAAACCCAATAGGGGTCACTATGAGTCAGAACCAACTCAATGGCAGTGAGGATTTTTTGTTTTTTAGTAGCCACATTAAAGAAAAAAAGCAAAAAGAAACAGTGAAATTAATTTCAATGTATACTTATTTAACCCAATGTATCCAAAATATTATCGTCAATATGTGATCAATATAAAAAAGTTATTGAGCTGTTTGATGTTATTTTTTCATGCTAACTTGAAATCCAATGCTAACTTTATACTTATGACTCATTCATAGTGACCCTATGTGACAGTGGAACTGCCTCACAGGCTGTTTATGGAAGCAGATGGCCAGGTCCTTCTCCTGCAGAGTCAGTGGGTGAGTTAGACTCACATTTCAAATGCTCAGTAGCCACATGTGATACATTAAGTTCCAAACTTAATGCCTCATAGGGCAAGTTAAAGTACCAGACTGGACAGCGCCAGCAAGCGGCAGACAAGGGAGGTCTCTGGCGCCACCATGTGGCAGTCACAGGAACACCTCCCAGAGAGCCTCTCCAGCCAGAACCTGGTCCACACGCCCTGTGTATAACAACAGAACTAGAGGCTATTTTTCACAGAGACACAAGAATTTCTGACATGGAAAGACCCCTAAAGGTCGTCTAGTCATACGTCCTCGTTTTACAGGTGGGGAGGGAGACTGAGGCCCATAAAGGGGAAGGCGCATGCCCCATAGACACAAAGCTATGCAAAAACCCAGGTATGACACCGTCTTGAGCCCTTTCTACTCAACCACCCTGCCCCTCTCCTGGGTGAAGGGTGTCTGTGTGCCTCTTAACAAAGTGCTGTTCTGTGACCCAGGGAGAATTTGGTCTGATTGAAAGGAACCACCCAACCCCAGCTCTGATATCCCCCTAGGTGCCCCCTCTTTCATTCAACAGTTATTTACTGGGAGCATATTCAGTCCTGGCATTGGATGAGGCAGTGGGGAGATGACATGGGGACAATGGCCTGGTCTTACCCTCATGGAGCTCACAGCCTCAGCAGGGACATAAGCAATATCCAAAGACACAGACAGAGGGGACTTGATGAAAGACCATCATGAGAGATGGGCCCTAGTGAGAGGTGAGGGCAGCCCCCTTGAGCAGTGATGTGTGGACAGCGAGCTCAAAGCTGAGTAAACCAGGAAACCAACTGCTGTCAAACCAATTCTACTCATTGCGCCCCCGTGTGTGTCAGAGTAGAACTGTGCTCCACAGGGTTTCAATGGCTGGTTTCAGGAATCCCTGGTGGTGCAATGGTTAAGCGCTTGGCTGCTAAATGAAAGGCTCGTAGTTTAAAGCCACCCAGCAACTCCACAGAAGAAAGGCCTGGCGATCTTTTCCCATAAAGATTTAAATTTAAAAAAAAAAAAAACTGAGCAAGCTTCCAGGACAGAGTAAAACTACCCCATCAAGTTTTTTAGTCTGTCAATATTTATGGAATCAAACTGCCACATCTTTCTCCCATGGAGCAGCTAGTGGGTTCAAACCATTATCCTTTTGGTTAACAGCTAAATGTTTAATCACTGTGCTGCTAGGGCTCCTTTTACATAAAGATTACAACCCAGAAAACCCTGTGGGGAAGTTCTACTCTGTCACATCAGTCGAAATCAACTTGATATGAGTTGGAACCAACTTGATGGCATCTAACAATAGATTCCAGGCTTTTCTTCCAAGGCATTCCTGAGTGGACTTAAGCCACTAACCTTCTGGTTAGCAGACAAGCACAGGAACCATTTGCACCACCCAGGAAACAGCACGTGCAAAGGCCCGGTGGGAAGGGGCAGCATGGCACGCTCATGGAGCAGAGAGAGGAGCAGAGAAGCTGCAGCGTGGGAATGAGGGTCAGCGCTGAGAGCTGAGACCAGAGGATACACTACACGTGGGACATGTTAAGAACAGCGTCCTTGAGACTTCCACTTCTGGGAAGATGAATTAAACTAACTTTTCCATATTCCTCTCACTTTA